AATTTCTTGAAATTTCAGTGGACAATTTTTAACAATGTAATTTGAGGAATTCTCGGTTTTTTAATCCTCATTCAAGATTCCTTATTATTTTTTAGATTTGAGGAACATTCATCCCTTGCGGTTCAATATTGAATCGAAATGAAATAGCATTACCTATTGTAATGCCTTCGCTGAGCCAATGAAAATGGAATAAAAGAAGTGGATTCTACAGAAAATAAATGCCCACATTACATAAATCATTAATATTCGCGGTATGACACTCGTTTTGCTTGGAATTCGTCGATAACATTGGAATTTGCAGTCACTAGGAATATTCCCAGAAGTCCTGATGCGAAAATATTTGCTAATGCTTTCCATCTCGCCCATGCAATTCTACTATTTAAATTCCTATAAAATAAAACAAGTGCATATTGCAACAATTGCTGCTTGTCCACTCTCTCCAAACGTTCCATCAGACAGGAAAAACAACAATTCATTCATTTATATGAATGAAACTCCCCGAATGCTGTTCCGTTAATTACATTCGGTGACGCTGAAATATCAATTACTCATCGACATTCCATTACCGATTCAAACAGGATTTAGTCAGCTACCAAGTCACGCAAATTATGAGAATTGAGATATTTATGACTCTAAATCTCCGGCTATTTTGTCTGTCAACTTGTTTACTACTATCGACCTCTGTTTATTGTGGATCTGCGTCGATCGTGCCTATTCAAACCCAATCGATTTCGTTATCGAGTCAGGTACAGCCGATTCAGTAGCGATTCAGTTTCATATAATACGCGTTCGGCCACTCGAAACGCACAGCTCACGTTCTTTGAAAGATATTCGAGCACTTCGGCCATTTTATTTCGTTGAAATCCTTTGAAACATTTGAAATCGCAGGTAAAAACGGGGTTTTAGCTCTTCTTTTCTCAAGTTTACGAAATATTCTGCGGTGATTTTATTATTTAAGTGTTGACGGTTAATATAATTCTATTTTATTTTTTAAAACTTGAGGTAAATTTGAAGAATATGAATGAAAGTAGAAGTTTCGTTTCTGAGTAAAATTCATAAAATAATTCCAAAATTGCACATTTTTTAACAATGAATTTGCCACTTCAAGAACAATTCTTTCGAAATTGATTTCATAAAAAAAACCTCATTTTTTGGTGAAATGTGATGTAAAAACAAATTTCCCACTCGATTTAATTGAGAATCTTAATAATTTCCTGAATTTCCTCAAAAATTATTCCGTTGCATAAACAAAATATTACAGAACAGAATAAAGTCTTTAAAATTGATGTTCGAGTCAAACCGTTTGGCAGAGAAATAAATAAAAGTCAAGTGATAACGTCCCCAACCGGTGATACAGCGCCAGTGTTTGTCATAGAGAAAACGTGCGTCAATTTTTTTTCATGAAATTCTATTCGGGTGAACGGATGACTCGAGGTCACGGGCCTCATCCCGGTAGCTCGGACAATTGACACCAACGAGAGGAATAATAGTTTTACACAAGGGAAGAACCCACACGAATCAAGGCCTTCAGGTCATAATTCACGTAATAATTATTGAACGAGGTAAGATAAATATTGACGTTTATCTACATTATGAGTAATAGCCTCGGAAGAATGAAAATTATTGAGTTATCCATTCGCAATTCATTATTTTCACATTTTATTTTCATTTTGTTGTACGACATTGATGTTTTTTTTTGTACAATGGGAAATTCGATACAGAGTTTTAATAATTTTATGGCTGAGTGGAGTTGTTAATCGAGTTTCTAATTTCCGTGACATGTATTCAATGAATAATCGATGTTTATTCATTTTTCTCTTTCGTTTTCAATTGTTCATTAACTTTTAATGCAGTTGTGAGAAGATAAAATGAGATTTGTAAACTTTATATTTTTCAATCTTTCATATATTTCAAACGAATGAAGCGATTTGGACAAGTCACAGCTCATTTTAAAGCCTCTGCAAATATCTTTAAACTGGCGTCAAATTGGCTTGAATTTACTCAGCCAATGGGAAGTTATTTAGAATTAAAATTGATCACTTTTCCTAAAATTCGATTTTGTGGAATATTTTTTCATCTGAATTTTTTCGGAAATAAAATCTAAATTCCAAATACCAAAAAATCTCCAAAAACTAAATTTCTCTCATGGAATCTTGAAACGACTGCTGCCCGCACATGTTCAACGCTTCACCGATTCCCCAGGCTTTTGCGATCGTAAAAAGGGCGCAGTAGTTTGACAAGAGCTTAAAAAGAAGTGCATAAGCTATTACAGCTAACTCTCCACGAGTGCAACCTGTAGCCCCATCCCTAAATGGAACGAATCGTTTGGTGGCAAATGATCCGGTTCGAGAATAGCCCCTTCCCCCCTGCCGCTCGGTTTATTTTCGCCTCTGTTTATTCTCCTCGGATAAAGGAATTCCAATAATTGAATGAAAAAGGATAAGTATCTCTCGATGTCGAGGGCTCGATGAATTCAGACTGTAGGCGTCTGCGATGATATTTCAAATCATTCGCCCGGGGGGAAAATATTATTCCACGTTTCCTAGGATAATATTGCTTCTGAAATCGAGATCTCTGGCAATAATTATAGCGATGACGATCATATTAAGGATACCCAAGTACTTTGGCTATTTCTGAAAGGTTAAACAATGTCAATTATTTATTTATAAAGAAGGAATGTTTAAAACAAGTGGGAAATTGCTCTTGTATTGCGTATGTTGTTAGAATTTTTTAGAAATTTCATGGAAAATGTGATAGTAATTCTCGTGAGAGTGAGATTGAGTCGGATTTAGGGGATAAATGGTTATGAAATTTCATGTTTTAGGTAGAATTCAAAGAAATTCATGAGTTTTCAGTGGAAGTGAGATGGAAATTTCACAACTTTATTGAATTTTCAATTATTCCCTGAATTCTTATGATTTTTCTTAATTTTCATGGAATAATTTAACAAAAATCAAGTATTTTATTGATTTTCAGATCGCTTGAACCGAAAATTAATGGAAGATTTCATTTTTCAACGGCAATATTTCAAAGAAAAAATATTAATCCTGAATAAAATGTAATTTTAATTACACTGAATATTCACGATTTTTTTTTCGAAATTTTCTCACGAAATTGAATTGAAGAATTTGATGATGGAAAATGGATGAATTTATTCACATTGTAAAAGATACTTGGATATCCTTAAGGATAAATTTCTCGAGGAAATTATCTTGATAGGGTCATATCACTTCCTCGAAACTGCCGGTAATAATTTCCCCCCCCCCGCCATCCCGAGTATGAAAAATTCCCTCGAATAAAGGAAAACAATAAATTGTAACTGCAGTGCCCACTTGTCTCTAAACTACCTGCATTCCGCCGAAATGAACTCCCCTATGAATGCCGTAATTCTTAGGATTTAAAAATACCAGGGGAGCATCGACTTGAGGGAGAGATTTCCCCCGAAATAGACAGCGAATGCTGAGCGTTCAGGGTTACTGTACATATGTATGAGCATCATATATTTACCGAGAAATATATGGGCACCCGTGGGACACTCCATTGCACTTCTCCCCACTATTTCAACTTCGTAATGTTTCTCAATTCCCAGTTTCCCTTCTCAGAGAAGAAAATTCAGTCGTCAATCGTTAATAACTCGAGATTGGCAGAGTGAAATTTCTAAATTTTTCTTTCGTTTTGAAGGACTTTTTTCAAGCTTTGAAATGAGCCCCGACTTGCCCAAATCACTTCGTTGAGTCAGGAGATATTGACGATTGAAGACAGTGCATTTTTGTTTATTAGTTCTGCGTTTTGATAATTCAATTGTTTATTTAAAAAATGACGAATAAAAAATGCCAATTCGTCCAATGGTTACGTGCACAACCCGAGACTTTGAACTTTGATGCAGTAACTCGACTAGCCTTGAACTTCCTCCCCTCGCCGCGACTTTTCGGGTCACACTCCCCCTCACTTCCGCGTCATTTCGCCGCGTCCCACTGTTTCCCCCCGATTCTTTCATTAATAAAAACGTTAGCAGCGGGAATTACTTAAGAGAGATGTATTCCAAAAAAACAGCTGAAGCCCACACTTTTGCCGGGCTCCCCGATAACACTAATAGTTGAAAAAAAGATGTAATGAGGTCACCGTTTAATCTCCCTGCCCAGTGAACGTAGCAATCACGCTACACCACCTCTCACACTGAACCCGGGAGATGCTTAATTTCAGTTCATGTAAAAACCAAAGGCTCTTGGAGCTCAACCAATCTTGGAGAATGGCCTCCGGGAGAATTTCATTGTTCAATTTCCTACGGCTCAGTTTAACACATAACGTCTTCATAGAGCAGGAATAATTATCTAATTAAGAATATTGCTCGAGGACTATTTCCAAAAACACGGAAATTGCGCGCGAAATTGAATAAAAAGGGACATTAAGTTGGAGCGAGAGATCGTTTGGTGTGCAATGCTAAAAAGTTCAGCCAAAAATGTTAGCAGTGCACTTTGCATTCGATTACAACTAATTAGTAGTCGACTATTCATGAAGGTTCAATTTTTGCGTCCGAAGAGGAGCATTGCACTCGTCAAATCCCAATTTTTCAATTGTTTGTGTCAGGAAACTAATTTCGGCCTCATGAGTTCGAATATGATATTTTTAGAGGGTTCCGTGAACCTCATAAATTAAGTCACAGCTTTTTGACTAACAGCATTTTTCCTCATCACACTGTGTAAAAAGTGCACTTTACGCACAAATAATGAAAAATTTATTTTGAAATCAATTAGGCTTTGGGACAACGTCAAATCCACTGAATCGTTGAATTAAATTAAAAATAAATCACCATAGAAATTCCATTCAGAAGCAGATTGCTGCTTTCTCAGCAAAAAAATACCGACGATGTTGTGACGAAAGCAATCTCCCACGTTTTTTTTTCTCACATTTTTTCTCCTCAATGTCTCATACTTTTCCTCATCTTCTTGTTCCAGGGAGGGCGAGGGTGGAGGGGGTGGCGGGGGCGGGCGTACCGCATCCGGGGGCGGTGGTAGGCGAGCCCCGAGTCTTCGTCTGGTGAACGGCAGGGCGACCACTGGGGTTGGCCTGCACACCAGCAGCACCGAGTCCGTCCGTTCACCCCATCAGCATTTTAGTCATCAGAATAGCATAAACAACAACAACAATTACTATGCCGCTAACAATGTATCATCGAATAATCATTGCAAGTTGAATAAGGATGACAGCATCAAGATCAGCATCGAGAACACCAACACGTGCACCGACAGCCTCGTCACAGCGTTAGACGACGAGACGCTTCTCATTACCGATTTCCTTAACGACACAGGTAATTCTGGGAAAAGTAGATTCAACTGAAATTCATTTTCCGCAGTGGTATTCCCCTTCGAGTGTTTTTCACAACAGCATTTCCACGGAATCACCAGAATTGAGGGAAAATGAGGTGCTGCTGATGCACGCAAGTCATACTTCTTTCTCTCATTTTGTTTCTTTATTTATGCTCCGTCGCGATGAAGAATTTTCTTTTCATTATACTCTCCCTTTTCACGCTTTCTCAACTGGCAGAAGGTCTCACCCTAATTTTTTGAGGCCATGATACAACATTTTTGAGGTGTAGCTCGCCCTCGTCACGTATTATACCACTGGCATCAAGCAATTGGAGCGTTTTCCTGCAAACGCGGAAATCTCGATTGCGAATTGAGATGAGTGTGGAATAAGACTGTGGACCTTGGATCCCTCTGATATTTGAGTTTAGATCTGTCGGACTGATTTCATCGCTCTTCGGGTTAAGTGCCCTTCATGCAGCTCGCATGATGCCTTGTGTCCTTGGTCAATGAAGGAATTAATTCTTTCGGAATTTTTTAAGATTGAATCCAGTTGAATAGGGAGACATAAGACTCGTCTTCTATATTTTTTGGTTTATCATACTTTCATGGAGGTTCTTAAACAATAATATAATCTTTGACTTCGGCTTTCTCCGATCTTTTCGTTCAAATTTTCATGCTTCTTGCAGGATTTCATATTTCCTTCATTACTAAAACAACTGATCATTCTGTAATCTACTGAGATGGATCGGCATTAACTAGGAAGGTGTATAAGGCTTGCTGCCTTTACCTTTTCGTCGCTCTATCACACTTTTGCGGATGTTTTTGGCAGCAATGTAACCTTTGCCCTTGCATTTCTCTGATGTTTCACATTCTTCGGGCCAAATGCTTTTAATCCATTTCGCAGCTTTCCGTCTTCCCTTCGTCAGTGAAGGAACCAATCCTTCTGTAATCTTTCAAGATTGATTCGATCAAGATGGAATGATGTAGCAACCTTGTCTCCCCTTTCGTTCCCGCTTCTTTACATTTCTGCAGAGACTTTGGGAGAATGTTGAGTGCCCTTCACGCACCTCGCATGATTCTCGCTTTCTCTATCAATGAGATATCGATTCTCCTGTAATCTCCTAAGATTGATCACCCTAGGTCACACTTTTGGTGAGGTTTTCTCGATAATGAGCCTGTCAACCCTAGATTGCGCAGATTCCCGAATTCCTTTTACGTGATTCTGTATTTTCTTCATCAATAAGTGAACAACTGCTTTTGCAATCTTCCAAAATTTATTGCAACTGAATTTGGAGATGTCAGGCTTGTGGTCCCTCTCATTCTGCGGTTTATCATCCTTTGTTGGGATTCAGTAGGCCATAGTTAACCCGGTACGATGTGTTTTAGCTCGCGGTGTAAACTGTAAAATAGTGGATTGTCAAGGATACAAGCCAGCATTTTATGGGTTGTAATATTCTGTGTTTAGTGCAGTTTCGGAAACAATGTTTCCGTCCTGAAATTTCCAATGTCAGCTACTGTAGCACGCAAAGACTCTTAAGCCCCTCTCCTTTAATCCCCAAATCGATAACCGATAGCCGAACAATAGCCAGAATCGGAGGAATAACAGTAAAACGTGTTGTTTTTCGTTTCAGGCAACGAAATGAATTACAAAGGAAGTGGTAAGGTTCATTTTGGAGTGGACGATGTGTCTCTCTATGGGACACCCAAGGAGGAGCTGGGCCCAGGACTTCCGGGCCAGGAGGTCAAACAGAGCTTCCTCAAGAATCAGCTGCAGGCGCTCTTCCAACCAACGGACAACAAGCTGGCGATGAAACTGTTTGGCAGTAAGAAGGCTCTCATGAAGGAACGAATCAGGCAAAAAGCTGCCGGTCACTGGGTCATACATCCTTGCTCCAGTTTTCGGTGAGTTCAGTTTCATTTTGCGGTGGATAAAAATGTGCTTTTTTGCTTTCCGAGGAGTGATGCGAGGATTCACTCGAGAATTGTTTGTTTGGACGATCAATCACTTCATTTTTTATGGATGAATGCTCTATTCAGAGAAAATCGGAACTTCTCTTGTTCTTTTGAAGGCATGAGTAGGGTAAAATGGACATTTTTCTTTGAACTTTAAATGAGATGTTGGCGATTAATGACTGTCGGAAGGACTTCAGAGCTGTTTAATACGTAACATATGGTACTTCTGCATTCTCATTAGAGCTGAAAAATATTTCAATTACCATTTAAACTAGTATTTCGTCCAGCTCTAGGTAAAAACGCCAAAAAACTGTTCGAATTGAAAGTCCATTTGAACGAAATCTGTACGTTAATCTGAATAAAGGCGAATGCACTTCTGTGCGGTTGAAACTGTACGCGTGGGCGGCCAGTTTGTGGGCAATTAAACGAGAATTATGCAAAGCCATGAATCGGACTGGCAACACGAATCCCATCCCAACTGAAACCCATACTCACAGATGCTTTATGCTGAATGTTGGAAAAGATTTGCGTATTGGTTCCATAGAAACTCGGAGGCGCCGCAAGGTCCGAGAGCTGTCGATTTAACGTTTACATTCGCCGCACTATCTCGAAACTAATGTGTACGTACCAAAACCCGAAACCATCGACTGCTCCACATTTTCAATCATTAAGATTTACAACTCCGATATAAAAACGAAATCCACTTGAGTGGTATATTCCCGGTTAATACCCGCTTTGATTGCACTATCAGGCGTTCTAGTTTCTGCAATCTTTATTTTTAATAAATAGTAAAAGATGGAGAAACCTTTTCAATGGAACATGGAGGGGAAATTATCCTGGTGCGGAGTTGTTGGGCTGGGAACGAGTAAAAAATGTAGGACGATTCAAAGTTCAAGGAATTTCGTCATTAAAAATTCACGATTTTATGAAAAATTCAATGGGAATTGTTAATTTCAGGTTAATTATTCAGTAGAAATTGATAGAGTTCTCGTCTTTTCGTAGATAATAAAATTGGAATTCCACTGAAGTTGAAATTTTATGGTTCTCCTGATATTCTTCAAAATTTACGACAAAAAAGCCATTTTGATTGCACTATCGCGCGTTCTAGTGTTTCCAACCTCCGCATTCTTTCTGAATTTCAAGGAAAAATGTTGTGAAAATTACCCTGAGGCGGAGTTTTTAATCTGGAAACGAGTAAAAATATCGGACAAAAGATAGATTTTATTTTTATTTAAAAAAAATGAAGTTTCAAGGAACTTCGTCATTGAAAATTCACGATTTGATAAAAAAAAACCCGATGGCAATTGTAAATTTCAGCTCAAGTATTTTATAAAAATCCACATAAATCAGAAAAGATAAAGTAATTTGAGGAATTGTCGTCTTCTGAGAATTTCAAATTCTCTGATTTTTCCTGACATAAAGAGCAATTGTTACTAGACATTCTCCCCACATGTCCCAAAATCCTTTCGTATTGTACAGCAAAAAAATTCTTTTCGAGTTCCCTCCACTGCATAATTGATATCGGAATTTTTATCAATTCCCTTTTTCCGTTCGCCTCGAGTCCCTCTCATTCACTCATCTGATTCTACGTGTCAGTGCAAAACTCGGTGCCAAATCTCAATGGTACCCGAAAACGTGCAACGCAGCGTGAGAACACGTGGAATCGCCGCAAGGCATCAAACCATCTGGAAAACCTATTCCGTTCCCGTTGTCGAGCCAAATAACCCACATCCTGTACATATTTTTGGTGACCGTAGGAGGCGGAGAGATACTGGAGATAGGCGACACGAGCGAAATCCATGCTATCTCAGAGTGCCATGAATATCTTATTTATAGCTGATTCTGCTGACTTCCGTTATTGATTTAATAGCAAATAGAGTCATCACGTTTCGATGAGGACGAAGATTTGAGATATTTCCGTAATTAAGCATGCGCAAGCAGCTTTTTTATATTGATTTTTTTTATATCGTTGAAATCATCGTTAACAATTCTAAATTACGTGTGAATTCTCGATTTTGTGGATTTGAATTCACTTTAACATTAAATAAACCTTCCGCGGGAAGTTTAAAACACTTTTATTATTTATTTATAAAAACACTGTTGAAAAAAATTGAAACTTCGCGAACAATGTAGTAGTAATTCTCAGGGGAGCGACGGAAATTTGATTTAGGAGAGAAAAAAAATCATAAAATTTCAAATTTCCAAAATTAACTGAAGTAATTTTCCAAATTACTGAAATTTTTGATTGAAACGAAAATTTGAGAATTTATTAACGTCAATTTTTCTGATTTATATGAATTTCCAATTACTAAATTCCTCAAAATTTCGGTAGATCTGTCACTCAATAAAAATTCCCAAGAAGTTTACCAGAAATTTCAAGTTGCACAGAAAATCCAGTGAAATTCCTTATTTTCGATCAGTACAAAAATAATAATTCCCAAAATTATCAATATTTTCAATCAGAACATTCATATTCAATTATAAATTGCGTAAAATTCAGAATGAATTCAACATTCACGACTACATCCACCTGATTCTTCCCCATTTCTCCTAATTCCCCTGGAATAATTAAAGTGAAATTGACAGTTTTAATTTTTCCACCAACTTCCGAATGCACAATACCAAAATCCCTAAAAATTTCAGTGCAACCGTCACTTGATTTTACCAAAAAATTTCCCCAGCGAATAGAATGTCGCCGATTACTCCCGATCATCCCAAAAATATCCTCACAATTCAATCCACAAACTAGTAATTAACCCCCCGAAACCTCCAGTCCATTAATAACCTCACTCGACGCGGAAGTTTCAATTTACCGGGTACTTGACCTTGACGAAAAAGCTCTCCGGCAAGTTTCCTCGAGGGTGGTATATTTCTCATGACAGGTAGAATGCAGACGCGAAAAAAACCCATCCACTCGAGGGAAAAAGGGTGTGAAGTTTCCCCCAGTATTTCCTCACACGACTCTGAATATTCCCCGTCCACTCGTGTTTTTTCTTTTCCCCTGAATAATGGAGCGACGTCATTACTCTTCACTCGTCACTCTGTTGTTCCATTCGTCTCCGGCATCCCCCGAGTCTCGTCTTCATCAGCGCGAAGTGTGCGGAATAGGAAGCACTGGTGATTCCCTGATAGTTATCTGATTAAAACTGATGAAGCGTCAATTAATCCACAATGTCGTCTCTGACATTTAACTCATATCAATTCGAGCGTTGCGAGATTTTTTTTTTATCAATTGTCATGTCTCGAGTCGTCCAGTGCGTTGCGATGATTGGGATGCATTGAGTTTTAATGAGAGCCCGTATCAATGCCCCGAGACTCGCGGTCAGCTGTTGAAAATCATCTCAGAATAATCGTCCGATTAAGGGGAAGGCTATTGTGATGCCTCAGGCGGTTTGTGTTCGCGTAGATAACGCCTGCTTGGTCTTGTCTGCCCGGTAATTTCCCCTCTCTCACTCCCGTAGTAATTCTAATCTAATGTACAACAATATTCGGCTCATTGTTCACCCTGTTCTGCATCAGCAGCAGCGAGAAGTCATTCAAAAAATGATTCAGGAGAATCTTTGGCGGAATTTATGGAGCGGAAACTCAGTGATGAATCGCTCGGTTCCTCGTAAATCTGCTTTCTTTGGAATTATTTTTGTATGAGGAAACGGGGGGACGAAGTTCTATAATTAGAGACTGGGGAATAGCATGAAGCAGGTATTTTCACGTGGGAAAACAGAACTGTTGGATTGAAAGTCTGAAGTTGTAATGGAAATTCTGAGAGAATGGGACAGAACAGCTGACACAATGAAGCGATTTCAATGAGTCACGTCTCATTTTAAAGAGTCAAAAAATATCTTCAAAATGAAAAAAAATCGTTCAATTTCACTCTGGCGATCGCGAGTTATTGAATATTGAAAACAGCCTTTTTTCTGAGAGGTGAATTTTTAGATTAATTTTTAACCGTCAAAAGCTCGAGATCGACAGAGTGAAATCGAACGATTTTTCTTTCATTTTGAAGATATTTTTAAAAACTTTAAAATGAGATGTGAATCATAAAAATTGTTTCATTTGTTCAGGAGATACGAATGTTTGAAGAAAGCACAATAATTTGAATTTGCTTCATTTATTTGAATCGATTTGTTCGGTGAGGTCATAACACGTAATTATTCATAATCGTCAACAAAAATACTGGCATGTCTATTTACTCATTCCACATGCAATCTCATCCTGTAACAATTGCCCCTAAATATGTTTCCGTCGCGGGCCAATATTCCCATCGCATCTGTATGCACAACGTCCGCGTCGTCGCGTGCTTCTGCTGACGCAAATCCTGTATTTCATGCCTCGGGCACCCGGCATTTCCCCAGAAGTGAAGAATTTGGTCTGATGACTGAGGTGTTTCCAGTAAAAAGTGAAAAAAATATAATGAAAATAAAATAAAAATATAGTGGAATAAAAAATTCAAATAAAAATCTCCCAAATAAAATGAACTGTTAAAAAAGTACACTGTTGGAAAAAAATGAAATTTCATGGACAGTTGACTACAAATTTTTAGAATAGTGACACTAAATGCGATTTAGGGGGAAAAATCATGAAATTTCAGGGTTCACTGAAAATTCAGTAAACGTCTAGATTTTTAAGCAGCATAAAGACGAAAATTCCTTAATTTATTTGAATTGTCAATCTAATATGAATATTCAATGCCAATTTTATGATTTTTTCCCCTAAATCGCATTCAATGCCACTGTCCTGAAAATTCCAGAGTATATTTACCGGAATTTTCTTCAGAAAATTCCAGAATATATTTACCGACGTTTTCTGGTTTTCTATTTATTCTCAGGGAAAAATGCAACTGAAATTTACAGTCTTCTTTGATTCTCCCCGAAATTCTCAATTTTCAGAGAGGAAATTCCTCCAAATGTCAGTGGTAATTAAATTCGATAAAAATTTCCAAAAAGTGTACC